GAACGGGCCGGTGTGCGCACGCGCACACTGCCCGTTCAGCATTGCGGTCATCGGAAGCCCGCCCCTCAGGGGGGCGGGCTTGCGATGATCGAGAGTGCGATCTGCCTGTCCAAGATAGGCAGATCGTACTTTTTTTTAATCCCTGTACAACCATCGCAAGACCTTAGTCTGTACAGTTGTACAGTGTATGGCCACCTTAACATTGACTGCATCCTATCAGATCCCTAGGTTTTTTTTCAGCCTTAGGCGGCTGGGGGGCATGGGGGCCATGGAGTCCCACCAAGCTCCTGGCAACCAGTGACGTCACTGATTGCCAGGAGCCCGGCCAAAGCCTGGCAAGAGCATCCCAAGTTGCTAAGAGCTGGTCAGAGAGATGTATATTGCCCTTACAGATCTCCCCGCCCAACTCTTACCAACCTGGGACGCTGTGGCTGGAAAACATTGTGTAGCAGAGTGGCATGCCGCTCTGCCTGCCGCCGCCCCCCCATGAGATGCCACCTGAGGCAACGGCTTTAAGCTGCCTCATTATAGGGATGGCCCTGTTTGGGTATACAAACAGGGCCAGTGTAGATTTCTTCATCCAGGCTGTTTATAATTGAATAGATTTTTGTCTCTTGTTCAGTCTACAGGATGAAAGAGAGAAATCTGAGCTTGTATTAGGGCTCTTGACATCTGCTGTATTGGGAGTGGGGTGCTCTGGATGTCTGCTTATAATTATTATGAGAATAATTTAATTCCATGCCAGTTGAAAAGGAGGGTTGCAGACTGCTGGTATCGTCCACAGGAGAACTTTATTGAGGACACCATGATTACTATTACTATGATAATAAAGAGTAGATGCATAGTCCTATACAACCGGCCCTTTGAGGGTAACCATACTGCTGATGCGGCCCCCGATGGATTTGAGTTTGCCACCCCTGCTTTAGACCTATTGCACTCAGTAATTAGCTTGCGGTAACAGAACTGGTGCCGAACGGGCCGGTGTGCGCACGCGCACACTGCCCGTTTGCAGTCAGCGTAAGCCCGCCCCTCATTACAGTCATCGCAAGCCCGCCCCTCAGGGGGCGTGGCTTGCGATGATCGAGAGTGCGATCTGCCCGTCCAAGATGGGCAGATCGTACGTTTTTTTAATCCCTTTACAACCATCGCAAGACTAAGGTCTTGCGATGGTTGTACAGTGTATGGCCACCTTTACACTTCCCTTCTCTGCAATACAAGTTTGTGTGAGAATACTTTAGAAGAGGGGTGTGACTGCTACTCAGCTCTGTCAGCATAGAGCAACGTAATGTGAAGGCAGGAAGCACATGTTCCCTGAGAGAAAAAAGCGTTTTAAGGTATTTCCACGCACAAATCTGTCATAAATCTTGACAGGCAGGGGTACCGGACTATTAAGAGAAAAAAAAGGGTGTTTGGCTTTAAATGAGCTTTAAGTCCTCCCTGAGGAGTGGGCAGTGAAAAGGCCTGTATGCCCTTCTGAAGAGAAAGTGAGTCCATGCCATAGAGGAAGATTTAACCTAACCCCTCAATATAAGTAGAAGTATACATATCAGGAGTCCCGCTTACTCATTCCTGTATGCTTGTTCCTAGTTAGTGTCTCACTGAATCCAGGCAGCCAGGTAACTAGACTTTTCAGAAGGAGGTAATCTATCTTTTAGCAAAAGTTTCCTTTTAACAATTGTTTGCTTTCTCCTACATTAAAAGTACTGTATGCCTTTACTGGTGGCTTGGCCATTAGGCATTGTTACAGAGTAGAAATAACATTGAAATAAATTGGCTTCTATTCCCTCTGGCTTGAGTCCTGCTATTTGCAAGCATGACACTGATTGTGTGCAAACCTCTGGCAAGTGGTTTGGAATGGAGCTGGGTGTATTTCCTTGGCTGAGTGTCAGCTCTGTTGTTGTTGTTGTTGTTGATCGGACAGGGATAAGGCATGAGGTTTATTTGTAATGCCTTGCAGTAATATTAGGCAAGGGTTAATTGCTCTGCCATGACTGCTTGCATTGTCCAGCACCGGTTTCTGCCTGGCAGGGAGGGTTAAATGATGTGCGCTGATCTGCACTATGTTTGGTTACATTCCTGTGCAGAGAGTTTTCGGATGTTTATATTTAGAGCATGTGGAACTTATGAATAGGGAGAGAGACATGGAAAGAATGAGATTTCTATCTATATCTGCACATCTATCTGCCTGCTTATTTGTCTGTAGCTCTGCCCATCATTTTGCTTGAACAGTTCATCATTCAGTCCATCCTCATACAGCAACTGTCTTATCCATCTGCCAAAGTGTGTAATCTATCTGGCTGTACTTGTAGGTGCGGAATCGATTTCTGTTTATAAACTGTGATCTGACTTTGTCATTTATGGTCCAGGAAGAACAATGTGCAAGAAGACAGGGGGTAGGGTAAGGGAAAGATAAAACGGGCCATTGAGAGTTGATACAGAAAGGAGAAAGAAGATATAGTTAAATAGGGGGGGGGGGGGGGGGGGCGGGGG